GATTTGTCGAGTTTAGGATTGTCGTGGCGGCAACCATTGTAGTGTCGTGCCGATAGTTTTGAGTGAATTCAAATGCAGTACATGTTGAAGTGAAATATCGATGTGAGGTGGCATTTCCAAAATTTGCTAATGCTAACACCGTTAGCGATTGAGCAAAGTGTAACAGAAATGAGTAGCCATGAATTGAGAAACATTTCATGAGAAGATCGCACACATAGCTTGTTTTGAGGAACATCACACATAACGCACACATAACTTGTTTTGCCGTAGTTTCGTGTCGATTGTTTTGCATGAATTCAATTAAATTAAAGGTTCTAGTCTTAGTGAGACAAATTTCAGTAAGAAAAAAGTTTTATGAGTTTATGGTGGACATTTAGCATGTCATTTAGCATTGAATAGGAATGGCAAAGTAATGTAATGAGTAGAGCATTTGTGTTATGTCGTAATGCATGTTAGCGTAAATCCTACGATGAGATCAGCAAGCTAGAATGGGCATCACTGTTTGAAAGTCGTTAATATGCACAAAAAAGGTTGCTGTCTCTGACTCATGTTCAATTTTCTTCTTCTGTGGAGAGCATGTTACTTCGAAAAAAACTTCTGCATTTCCCTCCGGCAGCCATGAGTCAGGCTTCGTTTCGGAATCATCAACAGTATTCAGTCAGTGCTTCTGAATCTACTTGCCCAATTCCAATGGCGAATGGTGAAGTGTCCGTCTTGGACGGACTGGAGAGAAAGATATAACGGAAAAATAAAGAGTAAGGTGAAGTGTAAGCAATGTTCAAATGATTTCTATGATAACTGTCAAATCCCGCACATGAATAGGCCGTACTGCGTATTTTTCTTGCTTTGCTAGACGTATTGACAGTGAATTATTTTGCTAAAATTCGTGTCGCTAAACTTCACTCTTTGACAGAGGTTCCTAGACGAGGTTGATCCTTGAGTACAAACGAACATCTTCAAAACTCGTACCACTCGATTTGAAACATTAAAATCATCACTCGGAAAGATATGACAAGTCTTTCGGACATTATTGCATTGCCGAATATTTCGCTGAGATCATGAAACGCCTCACCGGTCATACAGCCTTTCCCGAAGTGCTAGTGCATAACGTAACGCATATAATATGATTATCTACTCTCACTTTTGCAAAAGGTGATCACCAATCGCGGAGTGATAAATATCAGCATCAGCTGATTTCACTTACTCAGTTGCAGTCTTCGTACAACTACGAACAAGTACAAAACCTTCCTTTCAATACTGTTTTCGCTTTGTAGAAGGAAATCCGAAGAATTTATGTCAATTCAGCAATCAGCTCCTACTACCACGACATAATGATTGAAAGATGCCGAGGGAAGCATGATAAGACATCGGGCAGCGGAATATTTGAGAGTGACACCTTTAAGCACTTTTCCATTTCATCATTCATTACCGAACTCTTTTAGTGTATGAATTTAAAAGTTAGTTTTATAGAAGAAATTTAAAATTCTCCACTAGTGATTGTTTACTGTACGTGATCAAATTCCACCACAAAATCATCTTCATATTCACTGAAACAAAAAAATGAACAATGTGCAGGAAGAATGTAAAGACAAATGATTCACGAAGCACACGGAAAGAAACACTTCGAAAAGCTCATCATTAGAAAGCAGGAACAATGTTGGTGAACTAAAAGAAATACTGTTCAGTCACGGAAATGTTGTTTCTTTATCAACGAACACGATTGGTTTTTTGAAGATGAAACTGTGAATAACAAACAATCATAACATTGATAAATAATTCGATATCATATATGAAGTTTTACTCGCTTGAACAATAGCAAATGAGCACTGAAAATCAACTACAACAACGTATAAATGCGATAACTTGACTTCGTTCACTTATACAATCGGATAAACTCCTCAAAAGCAGAACTACATTCCTTCCATAAACATATTCTATCATTCATTTTAAATCACCCTTTTGAGAAGCTCGAAATTCCGCTTATAACAACAACATTGGCAATTGAGTAATTGGTGAATAAAATTATTTTGTCATTTCATAGTTCGAGAGATGTTCACTCATCGTTAATGATGAAAACAACAATGATGTAAACGCGGATTGCCCCTATTCGAAAACAGGTGGAAATACGGATTGCCCCATTTGGAAGATTCGATTTCTGCCTATTACCCGAACGACTGACAACGAATGCATTAACGCAAATACGAACGGAAAACTACCAATAAGAATACAATTTTGAAAAAAGTTCACAATGAATATGACATGAAAATTGCATTTTCAACGCGAATAAATTATTAGCACCGGACAATATGCAACAATAAACGATCGCTCCTCATCCAATAAAACAAATTACACGATTGATAATGTAATATACACAACAAAAATGGAACAGCAATACAAGCAACTCTAATTGCTCATCACCAATGAAGATCGACAAAGACATAACAAACAAATCTGAATACAAATCGTAATAAAACAGAGATGCCGTGCATCAAGAACACATGATTCTATGGAAATCAACTAAAATAGACGTTTATAAATCTAATGTTGTGGTAATCNCGACTTGAATGACTGCTACTCAGGGAGAAAATGCTCCTCTCTTTCACAACGATGAATTCGAGTAGGATTTTGCACGAAAACAGATCCAAGTTAAGCATCGTAATTCAATTCACCACTGACTTCATCAAGATGTACAAGATCTAAAATGAGCTGACGATCTTTCCTCTGAACGGATAAGAAATTTCAGATTTCAGACGTTGCTTCAGTAAGATCGGAATGAACGATGATTTTCAACAATAACATCATTTAAGGACCACATTTCGAATGCATCCATACCATTGAAACTACCATTTTGAAAACGATTTTTCGCATTGTTTTAAACAATGCGTAGAAACTGAATCGCAGTGACAAATAAATAAGCACACCATAGTAAGCACTCAATTCAATTCAATTGCCTATATGTCATTAAAAATCGCGTTCACAATGCGAATAAAATGCTGAAAATTGACGATAGAATCACGTCGAGAAGAGTAACTGAAACGATTGCGACCAAAACGATATCATCACAATAACAGCCATACAACAAGAACAACATAATATGAGTACTAATAATAATAATAATAANTAGTAATAACAATGAAAAATAATAACGATACTAATAATTATGGCATTCACAAAAACAACAAGGATCACAATCAGAACCATAACGACATAGATAACTATCACTTCAAACTTAAACAGTAACCATTTCAAATGTATTAACTGATTGTAAGACTACATTCTCAAGTTCATATCTTTCAGCAGTTTATCTCATGTTCACAGCAAAATAGTCCTGAATGAACCCGATCAATAACTGATTTCTTTCAGAATCAACCACAAAAGATCAATGGTCTCCACCAAACATTCTTTGCAACTAAAAGACTGCAATCGAGAAATGTTGACCACAGTGATCATATGCTGATAACAAGCCACATAAAACAGTAAACCTCAAAGTGTTTTTCATGAATGAATCTTTTCAGAGTGCAAATGAACAAATTCAATCACGGCTGCTGTCACTGTTGTTGCTGCTGCTGATCAGATGATGCTCGAATAAGCAACTGAGTGGCCAGTTCGAGCCGTGTCACGAACACGGCCATTGATTGGAACGAGTCGAAATTTGGTCTAAACAGTGTGGGCCACCAAACCTGCAACAGGAAAAAAACCATAGATGTAATTCACAGATAAAGTTTTCCACTATCTGAGCAATTCATCATTTGAAGGCCCGCTGAACATTCTATCCAGTGGTTTAAACGAAATTCTTTAACAAAAAAAGTTCAAACGAAAATTTTCATCAATGCTATCCGATGCAAGCGAAACAGTATTACTTGGATAAAACAAGAAACTTGCATACAATAATGAAATGTACAATATGCTGAAGCCTCAACTGATGAATGCATGCCAGCAGAAACAATATTCCAACGTTTCACGTATATGATTACATAATATTTTTATTACATAACAANAAAAAAATAAATAAATAGTGACGATGGTAACCTTGGATAGGTTTCGAATGTCCATTGAATTGATATCACTATGACTCGCAACGCGCGCCAAATGTTCCAGTAAATAAATTGTTGTATTATGATTCGCCAACGGCCACGATTCCAACGTTTCCCGTATACGATTTGACGCTTCGTCTTGTGCAACATCCAGAAGTGACACCTATAAACAATATCAGTTCATGAACATGTAAATGACACAGAATATAATTCACGAGTTTACATTGCAACTGGATCATATTCGAAGCTGAATCAATTTTAGCACTGAATCTGTTTGCATTGAGTGAACATAATTCAAAAGTTTCGATACATAGTGTTTCAATGGATTCACAACGATGATTCCGTTCTTAATGTGAAAACGCATTACATCGAGATAACTGCTTCCAATGGAAATAACGAAACTGTTCAAAGTCATCCTTAACATTTGTTTGGGCGATGTTCCAATGGGTTTCCGATTGTAGAAAACAATCTCATAAAAATTATATTCGAATCAAACAAAGACTGACCAATTTATCGTGCATATCGTATGGAATAAGAGGTTCAGGTAATGCTGAAAGGAAATTTTTGAGTGCAGTCGCAACCACATGAACCGGTAGCGATAAGCATTCCAAATCGATACTGTTGTCGGCAACGAAGGCTCGCTCCAGGTCGATTACTTGGGCTTGATTTCCGGGCACTCGATACAAGCCTTCCGTTTCAAGACCACCAACCTGAAACGACAATGGTTATTTCAACATCAACAATTACAACAATAATAATTCGTATTCTTAATTAAATTAATACCGCCGCAATAATGAAAAAAATATTTTCGATGAGTCGTCAAATGAAATGATATACTAAATGATTAATGATAACTGCACCTGAACAAATAACATGTTCGCACGTGAAATAAAAATGTTTGAAAGAATATGAAAAGTAAATGAAATAAAACAAATGAACGCATGAACCTTTTCAATATACTCGATGCACTTCTTAACAAAAAAAGGGACAGAGTCAGGTGATGAGGCAGCCAACGAATTGAGCGTATCTGACGTTGAGACAACCCCATTGAGACGGTATGCTGTCGTACTTTCAAGTGTTACGTTTCGTGCAGCCGATCGTTTCGGTGAGCGAGATGGTAACCACGAGAATGCGTTTGAGATCTTTTCACTTGATGCTGAAAAAACCATCAATATTCTTTTCGATATTACGACAATCATTCTTCTTGGCAGCAATAAAGCACAAATAAGCACCATTCGCAGAGCACATCCTGACGAAACCGGACAAATCAGTCCGATGATCGATGATCGTTCATTGTTGGTATTTCTTGATGGGATTGTATAAAATGAAACTATCAGAAACTATACTTCATTGGAGGAAACGAATGCTCAAAAATATTCATTTGTATTGTAACCCATATGTATACTCAAAACAATTACACAGTTTGATAGCTAACCACAGTTCATTAATGGTTTTATCGAATTGTACTTAAAGCTGAAAGATTCAATTATTTTCCAAAACGGTTAAGAAATAATGTTCAAGAACAACATTCACACACACNCACACACACTACTATTGGCATTACTGTCAGATGTGTCACTGAAGAATGCTGCTAGAAAAACATTTACCATTGCCATTATCATAACCATAACAACTAGCACTACTTCAAACATACACTGCGTGCACTATGATTATTGCCAACACCTTTCATTCAATTATATTAAATAATGAAAAGGCTATTAAATAATGAAATAAAACGACAGAAATAAATAAGCGAAGCGAACTTGTACGATAAAAACTGAACAAAATCGAACGCAACAAAACCAACTGAATGTGTGCATCAATAAAGCGAACAAATATCATCACTTACACGGAGGTTCTCGTCGTCGATTGAACAGCACTGATGCGTGGTGATGACGACGTTCGCTGTGTGGACTGTGCGGAACGGATCGCGAATCAGAATCACCGATATCGCTATCGTTCAACTTCTCATCATTTTCTGTGGATGTTGCACTCGCTGCGTCGTTCACGTCCACAATAATCATTCCATCGTCCAATAAAATTTTCTTGACTTTTGTTGACTGTCGAGATGGGGACGATGCGTTCAGGCAACTGCCATCATTGTCATTGTTGCCGTTGGTGTTGACGGCGTGCGGCGTACCTCGACGAAAACGAAACGACGATGCCATTTTACGTACGAAACGATTCTTCGAGAATTTCTTTGCCGAAGATGGCGATCCGGCATCAGTCGATGCAAACTCATCGCCCGCTCTGCTGATATGACCGTACAAATTTGTGGAATTTATCAAGCCCACATCCACTAGCGATTCAGCACTGATGCTGTGCAAACGATGTATGGCTGGAATAGCACTGCCGCGGCCTGCGGTCTGCGGTACCAGTTTTGTTTTGATCAACGGCGGGGCTTTTTGTCGTTGTAGTTGAAGTCGCTTAGACTTTGGCGCTTCTGTTTGAGGGTTTAACGCAGCCATATTCGGAACTCTATTAGTTCTTACCGAGATCGCCGCATTATCGTTGGCAGCATGTGCTTCGACATTTATTTGTGGTTGCCGTGCCAGTGGAGATTTATCGGCTCGACGATGTTGTTTGGCTGCTGTCAGATTCGTTGATGGCACTGAAGCGCTGATGATGATGCTCTGTGTGGCTATCTGCGTTACACCTTTGTGGCTGTCGTTGGTTTTACCATCACAATCATGCCGAGAATTTTGTTGATGGTGACTGACCGGTAATACTGATGATGCAATATCACCTGTACAATAAGCAATAACAACATTCATTCACACAACACTTTGAAAACTCAAACAACAACTGCATATTCGTTCTCTTCGGATATTCGTGAATCGTGCACGAGATCGTCAAATGAAAAATAATCGTGCAATATCGGCCAAAACTCATCAAAATACGGTGTTACAAAAGCAATCCAGAAGCGTAACATTGCACTGATTTCCATCAACTGATGTCTAGCAATGAGATTTTTTAAATTGGTGCAATTTGTTCTCAACTAAAAATTGTGTTCCACATTCAATCAATCACCCATCGCCATGTGCTTAAAGACATTAATCGAAACGGTTGAGTTTGTCCTACACTGGCTATGATATGAGGAGACTCAGAAAATGCATTCTAGATGAAATGTCAAATGTTAAGAACGATCAAGTGAGGATGACTGAAAAGGCAGTAAGTAACCTGTAGATGAAGACGGCTGGTTAAGTGACGCTGAAGATGACGATGATACAGAAGCGGACTGCAAATTAGCCGACGTTTTCGACTGAGGTGATTGCGCGGCTGGTGAGCTGCTGGCCGTAGCTGTTGGTGCTGCAGTAGTGGGATGACGCTTTGGAAGGTGAGCGATCAACTGAAATTGAAACAAAACAAACGTCAACACAGCAAGTGAGCAACTCTAATTCTATCACCACTGAGCTGATTTTTGTTGTTTGCAACAAATCATGAATTATGTGGAATTTCGTTGCTACATTCTTCATT